ATTGCTTTCTGCCGTGGAGCAATGTTCCTCCCTGGCAGCAGCAGGCAGTGGCTCTGAAGTTGCAGGAGCACTGCAGTAGCAGTAACAGGACCTGTGGAGTTCTGGAGCCAGAGCAGCAGCCCACTACATGGTGATTTATTATTGTTATTCTAACCAGCAGCCTAAAAACCAGCAGAATCTGCTGTAATTTTTCCTCTCTGGCTATAGGACTGTAGGTGCGATCCAAGCACTTGAAATGACTTGAACTTCTTCCAGTTCACCTCTTGCTCCCGTTCCAAAACTTGTGCTTTACTTTTGTCAAGTCCTCTAGTGCGAATCCCTTCCCTTTTGCACGTCCTGCTGTGAATTTCCCACCTCCAGCTCCTGGATCCCACCTTGTCAGTTAAATCCCATTATCCCACGGAGCCTGGCGCAGGTGCATGTGCAAAAATAACACTTGTCTAAGGAAACATATCCTGTTGAAGAGCTGGAACGCTCCCGGCAGGACAGGCTGTTTTGGGCAGGGGAGGGATGGTGAGAGCGTGTGTTGTGGTCCCAGCTGCTGACCCTGCTGGGTGCAGGGCTGGCTGTAGCTCTGCTGACCGCCGGCTGGACTCACTCCTACCATGTGCAAGCTCCAGAACGTGCCTGGAATAGCAAGAGGGTGGGAGAAGCCCTCCCATAAGCCCTGGGGCCATCCTGCCTTTGCAGTTTGGCAAAACATGTGATTTGTTGGGGAGTCATCGAGGCTGCATTGCTGCTGGGGAAATGAGATTAATTTTGCACAGCTTTGGTGAGAGCAGTGTCCCTCTTCTCCCCCCTGCTCCTCCAGTTCTCAGCCCTTGCTGGTCAGAGAGTATAAAGGCAATTTGGTTTGCTCAGATGAACATCCCGCTTTTGTCAGGTAGAAAAGCATTACAGAGATTCAGAGCTTGAGAGGATGTTTGTTAATTTTGAGTGAAGCACCCAAGGTGTTTGTTATGCTGGACACAGCAGCAGCTCTGGGACCTGATGGGGCACATGGGAGCACAGCTCAGCTCCTGAAAACACATTCTTTTTAAACTGAAACTTTGAGACAAAGGCAGATTGAACAGCAAAAGCCTTGCAGTCAGCCATCTTCTCTCAGCTCCTGCAGCCTCTGCAGCAGTGTTTCCTTGCAGGCTGTACTCTGATAAATGATGCTTGAGTGGGAAATGAGGTGCACTGCCGGGAGGTTTGTGCTTCAGTTGCTGTGCAAACGATGTGATTTATGGCTTAATGCTGGTAGAAAGCACGACAGTATTGCTAGAAAGCATGTCAATATTGAGGGAAAGCCTGAAAATATTGAGGGGAAGCCTGTAAGGCAGTGCAGAGGCTGTGTCAGGAGCCAGCAGCTATGGATCAGCTCCTGGCAGCAGAAGGCTGCTGGGCCAGACCCTGGATTTAACATCTTGCCTGCTGTTCCCTGTGTTGGCTGCCAGCTTGTCGGGCCCCAGCTGGCACAGGTGGGTAGCACTGCCTTTTCCTGGAAGTCTGGAAGGTTCTCAGCTCATTTTCTACTCAAGCTGTGGCCCAGCTTCTCTCAGGGCTGTGGCCCTTTCTGTCTGCTCAAATGCTGCTGCAGGGCCTCTTTCGAGGAATTGTGTTCCTTATGGTGTAGCTGCTCTTGTTTTATTTATGGGTGTTGGATGTTGTTTCAATCCACCATAGCATGGAAGAACCTGGGAATCTCTCCTCTGTTCCACAAATGGGGAGTTAATTCTCTGCTTGATCCTGGTTGCCTAGTTTTCGCTTTGCAGAGCCCCGTTATTTCTGGAAAAAAAAAAAAGACAGAAAAATCCCTCCATGTGGATACAGCAGGTTTGTGTAGGTTGTTTTAAAGTCAGTGTTATATATCAGGGATGCCCAGATTTATCCCGAGGACAAGTTCTTCACCCTTTTTCCCATGGAGCTCCTTATTCCATGTGGCTGGCGGGGCAGCCTTAGATGTCTTGGTGTGTTTCCTGTCTCCTCCAGGCGGGGTTAGTACAACTCAGGTTTGTTTGGTTTTGTTTGTTGTGTGCAGCTTTGAAGGTTCTTGCCATGAGGCTCTGCTTTGAGCCCCTGCTGCACACTTCAAACTTAGCTTATTTTTCTAAACTTTCTCTTTTGTGGGGGATTGTGTGGGAGAGTTTCAGCAGGGCCACCTCCTGTCTTGCCAGAGAGGCTTGTGTTGCTCATTTCCCTGCTTTGAAATGACATAATTGTCTTTGAAATCCTGGAAAAGACAACTTGGCCATGTGACTTGTTACCTGCAAATGCTTTTCCAAAAAGTCTGCAAGATGTGGCTCCAAAATCCCTCTCAGGCCAAGAGTCTCAGTTGCCATTTTAAACACAGTTGCCTGGGAAGGAGAAAATGGAAATGTCTGACTTTCCTATGTGTTTTAGTCTGATTAAAAAAAATAAGTAAATTTTGGTTTATTTTTTGATGGCTATTTAGATTAAATTAACTACTTAAAATGCATTAAAATAAATGTTATTTATGTAATAAAGAAGTTAATGAGCTAAAAAGCCAGCTGTACCTTGGGCTGGTCTACTGGAAGGTGGTAGGGGGTGGAATGTGATGGGCTTCAAGGTCCCTTCCAACCCATACCCTCTTGGGATTCAGATGATGACAACTTTTTCCTTGATCCCTCTGAATGCGTTGCATGTGTCAGGATCCAGGACTGGTGTTGGAAATGTGGGGTTTTTTTCAACACAGCAATGTCTCCCCCTTGTTTGGAACTCAGCCCCTTTGTCTTGGGAGAGCTCATTGGTAGCAATATCCTGTTTGAAGTTGTTTTAAAAGAACTTTAGGGCTTGTTTCCTACACTCTCTTGATGGGATTTCCTTTTTATTAAACAGGAAATAGTCTGATTACATAAAAGTGTGAGAATGACAGGTTTTTCCTTCCCAGCAAGGGTTGTTCATGTTAATTCTATTCAGAAAATGCTCAACTGCCAGAGCAGCTGAAGTTAATTTGCTTTGCCTGAAACCATTGTTTACACCCAGAAGTTCCTCCTGGTGTGTTGCTGAGGCATTGTCTCAGCCTGAACAGGTTTCCTGGAGCAGTCTGTGTCCATAGCAGGGTTCCATAGCAGATCCTCGTTCTCACGCCTGGAAGGTGGCAGGAGTTCAGGGGTGTGAGATGTGCTGTGCTGAGTTTCAAAGACCTAGTTCTACAGCTTTTTAATATTTTTCTGCTCTTTTTCCCCTTGAGCTGGAGCTCTGAATTGCAATGGGAAGCGTTAGAGCTGGTGCTTCCTTACCTGGCAACAAAGGTGCACTTGAAATGGCTATTCCTGCTCCTAGCTTTGTCCTCAGAATCACCAACTGACCTGGAGTCAGGAATTTGAGTCCAAGCTCATCTGGATGATGAGTGAGGATGGAGTAGAAGTCAAGTACTGTGCTAGGAAGAGGCATAGTGGCAAACCGAGGTGGCTGGGGATGGCCTGGCAGGGACTGGCTACTTTCCCAAGAGCTCTGAGGATGAATGAAGTTTACATTCCCTATTTAGGCATGGCTTTCTGGTGGTGTTTTACATGGACTGGATGCCTGAGGGAAAGGAATTCTTCCATCCTCTTGGAGAGGACCAAACACTTGGGATATCAGAGGCCAGAGGACGGGGCAGGAACCATCCCACTTGGAACAGTGGAACTGAGGTGGCCCATGCAGCTTCATTTGTTTCCAATATGAGTTTGGTCAGTTGGCAGATGAGAATTTTCAGGATAAACCAACTGAAAAACCCTGGAAATCTTGTGCTTGTTTTTGTTTTGGAAGTTTTATTTTGAGTTCTGTAGGTAGATTCCTTTGGGTAATTAGTGCAAATATTTTCATATCCTACTGGCAAATCACTGTTTCCCCAGTAAAGCCTGGGATTTCAGTGTCTCTACAGTGCAACTCCCAAATGTCTGACACTGTTACAGCTGGCCTGGAACCTAATTGGACTGGTATGTTGGAAAGCTTCTGGAGCAAGTCTCTTTGGCTCTGAGTTTTGTGCCAGTGAAATGATGAAGTATAGCAGGATGACTCTAATGAACGAGCTTTGTTTAGAGTTGGACAACAGCATTAGTGTTGTTTTAAGTTTCCATCTCTGCTCATGGATGTGTTGCAAGTAGATTTAATAAGCACAGTGTCTTGGTGTTCTTTTGGACATTCTGTAGCCAGCTGAGAGTGTTAGTTAGAGTTTGTCTTGCTGGGAGGTGGCAAATCAGAACCTGAACTTCTACAGAGCAGAACTACCCTGGAATAAAAAATACTCTTTCAAGAAAACCTGCCACAAAGCATGGATATGGCAAATCCCTCCTGGGAAGAGGGTTGAGCCATTTTTCTCATTCACAAATGTCTGCCCTTCAGTGCAGCCCTTTAGTAGGGGGTTTTAAGTTTAATAGGTTCAATATAGGCTTTTATTTTGCTTATACCTCATTGAATAACCTCCTCTAAACCAAAAGTAGCCAAGTGCTGGCTCCAGAGCTGAACTCCTCAGTGTCTACTGCAAAAGAAGTGACAAACAGTGGGGCTGAGAATCTGTGCTCAGACAATTTCACATAAACAGTGCAGTGGGAGTTCCCGGATGTGTACGTGTTGTTAGTGACAGAGCTGCAGGGACAGGCAAGGCCAAAGGCACCAGGATAATTAAATCAAGGTACTTTTGCAAAGGGTGGAGGTGCTGAGCAGCATCTGTGCATTTCTGTTGTTGCCTAAGGTGTATCCCAAGCTGTGAGGACCCTGCATTGAAATCACACTGCGTGATTCTGTGTCCAGTGCTAATGAATTTTTTGGTGTGCAAGGACAGTTTTTCCTACAATGCATCAGAGGAGGGAGAGGCAGTGGCTGAAGTGACACGGAGTGTGGCAGTGCCTCATTGTCACAATTTCCACGACTATGTGCGTGGGGCTGAGGGAAAAGTGAGCAGTGGCAAGGCCTTGCCTTGGGTGGGTTGTGTCTGGGGGTGTGTGAGGCATGAAGACAATCTCTGCCCTTCAGCTGGGGGTGCCCCATCAGCTGTGCTCTGCTCTCCACAGGTGCTGCTGGTGAGCAGTAGTCGCCATCCAGACCGATGGATTGTCCCCGGGGGTGGCATGGAGCCCGAGGAGGAGCCTGGCGTGGCCGCTGTGCGTGAGGTCTGTGAAGAGGTGAGTGGCTTCACCCTGCCCTGTTAGCCCAGGTTCTGTGGGTTTGTTTTCATCGCTCTTCCTTCTTCTCCTTGAGGTGGAGAGGGAGACAGGGTCACTGGTGATATCCCCATCCCACATGGGAGAACAAACGGAGTTCGAAATAAAGAGAACACGAGAATGTAATTAAACCTCTTAGCTGGAATGAATTTGTCCTTCCCTGAAGGACAATAAAAAATAAAAAATAATTTTTTTTTTAATTTGAAAATAAAATAAATTTTTAATATGAAAATAAAGTTCAGGTCTAGTCACTTCAATGTATGTATAGTCTCTGCTTAATTTTCTCTGTAAGAGAACTTCAAAATTCAGCTGTGCCTTTGTGGATCTGTCTAGTAATTGGGTAGAAGGTAGAAATAAACCCTTAGGAGACACTAAAAGCACTCCAAACATAGGGATCTAAGTATGTTTTGGTTTAGAATACATAGTGAGGTTTATGTGAATAAGTGAAATTTGCCGTAAGTTACCAGCAGCAATTCCTAAAGTGTGCGTGGGTTGGTTGGTTTGTTTTCTCTTTTTCACTCAAAGCTGTTTCAGGAGGGAGATCAAACAGGAGATCAAACACAGATCAATGGGCTGTAGGGAGAAGGCCCATCTTTCTCTTAAAGCTGGAAGAGCAATTTTTTTCTTTGTAAGAAGTATAAAGGCAGTGAATGGCAGTTGACTGCAGTGTATGTAAAACATGTCTTCAGAATGTGCTTCTGAATATGAACCAGTTGGGGAGATGCTTGGGTTCAGAAACGATTGCATGATTATAGATGGAACGGCCAAGTAGGTTCACAGTTACATAAGGCAGGATTAAAAATGCTTTTGAGAGGGTTATAAATCTTTGGGCTCTGTGCAGAACAGAAAGGAAGAGCTAATTGATGGGACTTGGGAAGAAGCTTCTCTGTAGCTGCTTTATTGAATTGTCTGGTATATGCAGGTTTCTTCCTGAATTATTTGGTAGTACCTGCTGCTATCTAACCAAACTGAATATTCAGACTGTTGGACTAACCAAATGTGGCAGATTGCATGCTTCTCTTTGCATGTTTTTATAATCTAGCAGTTTATCAGAAAGAGATTATACAGTCAATGTTTATTTTTTTAAGTGTCTTTAGGTCTCTCTAATACTGGGAATTGCTGCTTGCAAATTTTATTTCCAGCTTGTAACCCTGCTCCTGCTTTTCCAGTAACTCGGCAACCTTTCAGCTACTTTACAAGCTAAAGTGAGTGTAACCAGAACAATAGAAATATTTTTAGCTGCAGACTCCTGCTTTTCAGCCCAAGCCTTATTAATAATGAAGTGATTTGATACAGAAGTCCAGGGTTCATTCAGAAGGTGCAGAGCTTTGCCTCTCAACCCTTAAAATAAACGTGGTGGGGCACTCCCTGTGCGGGCAGCAGCGCCCTGGGAGAACCGTGCTCTTTCCATGACAGTGCTGGCGGGAAGGGAGCCCTGGCACGGCTCCGGCCGCGCAGGAACTGGTTTGGGCTGGCTGAGATAATCCCGCTCCTCGGCTGGTGTTCCCTGCTCACGTGGAGCTGTGCCTGCTGCCAGTGTTAACTCAAGCCCTGGCAGCCTGGCAGGGTGAGTTCTGTCCAGCAAGGCACCTCTGCCCGGCTGCTCCCAACACGGAACAGCGGCAGCTCAGAGTGCTGGGAGCACCCCTGACTCACCTGTGCACCCCTGATTCACCTGTGCACCCCTGGCTCCCCTGGGCACCCCTGGCTCCCCTGGGCACCCCTGACTCACCTGGGCACCCCCAGGTCCCCAGGGCACTCCTGGCTCCCCTGACTCACCTGGGCACCCCCAGCTCACCTGGGCAGTGCAGGTGGAGGAGCTGACACGGAGCTGTCTGACATGAGCATCGTGCAGCTGCGAGTGGTGCTGGCAGAGCTGTAGGGGTGTAGAGCTTTCTCCAGATGGGGTGTGCTGCTGAGAATCTGCACACAGAATTATCCCCCACAACCCCGGCCTCGAGGTCCAGGAGCTGTTTGATTCCTGCAGGGGCCATTGTTGGAGCACAGCAGGAGTGTTGGGAGAGACAGGAGCACCCACCTTCCCAGTTCATGCTGTTGGTTTGGCAGGAAGGGTTTCAGGAGGCTGCTGGGAGCCCTTGTTCTCCCTTCCATGTGAATCCAGGTGTTTTGGGGTCAGTTGGAGCTCAGACTGATTTCTGAGTAGGTCTGAGGTCTTTGCCTCTCTCCTGGGACAGCCACTTGTGGGGACACAGATTAGCTGAGCAGTTCCAGTCTGTTGCTCAAGGTGGGAGAGGGAAAATTAGTTTCCCCCATGTCAATGAACAATGCTGCTCAAAACTGTGGGAGAAATGTGTGGGGTTTCTTTCCTTGACTTTGCTATGCCTTTTCCAATTTTTAGCAAGAGTCGGTTGGAAGAGCCATAAGAACTTGTGATCCTTCCCGTTGCTTGTGGCTTTTGAGGATGACAATAGGCTGTCTCTTCTCAGTTCATTATCTTTTGCATGGTGTTCATTTTTTTTTTTCAAAACATGCTTCCCTAAATGAACATTTTAACTTCTGCATTCCCTATTTTAATTTTACTGTGTATGTGTTTGGTTTTATCCACGTTATCCATGCTGGAATAATTGTCATCTGAAGTTACCTAACTTTTCCTTCTTTCTGTTCCAAAAATGAAATGTTGATTCTGAGTGAGGGCTGTGATCCCTCTGTCCCAGTCTGAGTTCAAGTCCTTGTCCTAGTTGGAGGTAGTCCTTATCTATATTAGTCTGTACCAGCACAGGTATTAAAGTGGACAGGTACCAACACTTGTCATGCTTGCTGTTGTCTGCATGAAATTGGAAGTGACTGGAGTTGTTGGGCATTGTTCATGCAGAGTGACAGCAGACACACAGCAGCTCTGGGTCAGAGCAGCCTCTTCAGAATAAACCCTCTTATTTCTGACAGGTTGCTGAGAAATGCTCTAGTCAGTCTTACAGAGCTGGGAACTCCACGTGTGTTCTAAAGTTCACCTTGTGGAAGGTGTGTGCCCTTTTCAAACAGGTCTTGTTGCTCATGGACTGTGTTTTTTGCTTAGGAATAAGGGGGTTTTATGGGTGTGAGCAACTGGTGAACATCACGGTTTAGAAATAGATGCCTTAAACTTGTTATAGAGTGACTTTGAAAAAAGCCTCCACGCTCATCTGTGAAACTCAGCACCAGTTAATTTTTCACTTAGAGCATTCTTCACATCCTGACCTTTAAATACTTAGTAAATGTCATATTTTATAACACTGAGGGAGTGTTAGTTGTGCTTTCTTCATGGGAGTCAAAAGCCAGATAATCTGTGCTTGATCTGTGATCAAACAGGCAATTGGTGCTAATATCAAGGATAGTCCATCATGGCAGTACTTTGATCTGGTTGCTGAAACAGTTTTTTCCCTTCTTCGAAACATGCTTTATAGATGATCTTTCCTGTTTCATGTATTTTGTTAGTGATTTAGAACACAGATATTGATATATTTCAGTGCTGAATTAGGAAGATATTTTTAAAAGTACTGCAGGGCCCACAGATGAATGACGAGATGATGGCCTTGAACTCCTCGTAGTTGGTTATACCCAGTGCAAGTGGCTCAAAGTCACTGTCCCTTACCCTGTGCTCAGACTTCACAAAAATGAGTGCAGTGTCTGAAAGTTCTTCACTCTGACATGGAATTTGATTTCTGTTTCACAAGTGTAGAAGGAAATAAAGGTGTCATGCAGTACAGAATTAGATGAATGAATCTGATCCTCTCTGAGACGGCCAAATTTGCCCAGCTGGTGTGGAATCAGCATCCTTCAAAAACGAGTCCACAGCCCTCCTGGGTGGGATTTGCACCTTCAGTAGTGCAGGTCTCGGAGCAAAGATTTGGGTGTTCCACCACAGTCCTCTTACCCAGCAGTAATCTGTAGTAGATGCAGGCTTTGAGCCTAATAGAGCAAAGTAAAATAGCTGAAATTCCAACCCACATTTTCCTTAGCTCAGATGGAAGGAAATAAAAGCTGTCCCGAGGAACAGATGGTGTTGCTGCAGGCTGCTTTTTGCATCTGACCTCAACTTATTTTCAGCTTTGAAACCTGAACCTGCTGTTCTTGGATGTCTTCAGTAATTTTTCTTTATTAAAACAAGTTGTTCCATGAGCAGCAGAACTAGTAAAGCTTCATTTCCTCCGGGTTTCTGTTCCTTGTCCTGAGCTCCCACCCCTCTGGGTGCAGTGGGGGTTTGAAGTGTGTGTTGGGCAGCTGGCTCTGGCAGCATCTGTGGCTGATGTGCTCTTGCCAGAGCTGCCTTTTCCTCCTGTCCTGGACCCTGGACACTGATTTAGATCAGCAGAGCAGGGAAAAAGCTCATTTTGCCAGCACTGTGTATCCTCTTGTACCTGAGTGTGCCTGTCCCAGAGAATCCTGTCGTGTGATTGCCTCGCTTTGTTTCCACACCTGCAGCTGGAACAGTTGGTGCTGGTGCTCTCCTATCCCTGCTGATGGGTTCAGGAGCATCCTCCTGGGATCCTCCTGGGATCCTTCTTTGTACTTTGAGGATTGCAGCACTTCCAGTGCTTAGAGGGGCACAAAATGAATTGCGCTGCCTCTGCCTCACTCACTGTTCTGGCCCAGGACGGCACAACATTCTTAATTCATTTACTATCAAGGAGAAAATTCCTGAGTAATTTGCTGCAAATTAAGATTGAGACCCTGCTGCAATCCTGGGTGAGCCTGGGTCTGTGCTTTAACTCTCCAAGAAAGTGCTCATGGCCCATATGAAAGGAGGAGGTGGGAGCTTGCCCAGAGAGGAGCTTGGCAGTTTTCTTGCTGGTTACCAAGCTTGACCTGTTAGTGGTAACAGCTGTAGGATATTTCTTCAGGTGTCTTCATCAACTTCGATCTTAGAAATTTGTGTGAGACTCTGAATTCCACTTGCATGTTTGTTTGTTCCATTGTACAGAGACCAACTCTCCTGTTGGTGTGGGAATTTACTGCTCTATCAAAAACAGGAGTATGACAATCCTGTTGGTGTTGGGTGTCCTGTATGTTGTCTTTAAAATCCACTGTACCTGGAAAATTGGCCCCCAGGAGCAGTGGCTGATGTGTTTTGCAGGCTCTGGTAAGAACCTGCTTTATAAAATCAGCCCAATGTTTGTTTTTTTTTTAACCAAAAAATTGTTTTATGTCACCATTTACAACTGTACGTGAGAAGTACGTGCATGAAGCAAAGCTTAGAGCTTTCTCCTGTTGTCTGATGATAATTCAACATGATTTCTCTACAAGACATGTTGGTCTTGGCATCGTTTTTTGTGCCTTCTTGGGCAAATAAGATCAGGCAGGGCAGAGCAGGAGGATCCTGGTTTGCAGACAGCATTATTTCTCTCATCTCTTTACCAGCACAGAAGGAAGGGCTCCTCACCTCCCTCTGCTACTTCCAGCACAGTTCTAGAGCTGGGATAAACTGCCTGGGAGGCTGCTTGAGCAGAATTCATCCTTCTTCTCCAAGTTGGCCAGTTGCCTGGAGATAAATTTATTTCTAGTCAGACTTGAGAGTTCACTAAACCATCACAACAAAATCCATGGCTTCTGATTCAGTGCCTACAAGTAGGGAGAGCAGAAATTCAAAGCATTTTCCAGGAACTAGTGAAGCATTGGCTTAAGACAGTTATTTTCCAGAAATATTTGATTGTGCTTCACCTCTTAATGCATTCATGTCCGTATGTTGTGAAGGTGGAAGCCTCCAGTTCCTCCCTGTGTTATTGCTGCCTGTTGAACGCGGCTTAGCTAAAAATAAATCCCAGTGCTGAAGGAGTTCCTTGAGGGAAATGCATTTGAAACATTTGCATTCCAGATGCCTTGGGAGAAGGCTGAGCCCAGGTCAGCAGGGTTGGCAGAAGAGGTGGAATCGCTTGGCCGCAAAGGTCAGGCAGGCTCTGCCCAGCCTGTCCTGTGCACGTGGGCACCGACCTTCATGGAACTGCTGCTCCTTCATGGAACTGCTGCTCCTTCATGGAACTGCTGCTCCTTCATGGAACTGCTTCTCCTTCATGGAACTGCTGCTCCTTCATGGAGTTGCTGCTCCTTCATGGAGTTGCTGCTCCTTCATGGAACTGCTGTTCCTTCATGGAACTGCTGTTCCTTCATGGAGTTGCTGTTCCTTCATGGAGTTGCTGCTCCTTCATGGAACTGCTGCTCCTTCATGGAACTGCTGTTCCTTCATGGAATTGCTGCTCCTTCATGGAACTGCTGCTCCTTCATGGAATTGCTGCTCCTTCATGGAGTTGCTGTTCCTTCATGGAATTGCTGCTCCTTCATGGAGTTGCTGCTCCTTCATGGAGTTGCTGCTCCTTCATGGAACTGCCGTTCCTTCATGGAGTTGCTGCTCCTTCATGGAGTTGCTGCTCCTTCATGGAGTTGCTGTTCCTTCATGGAGTTGCTGCTCCTTCATGGAGTTGCTGCTCCAGAAAGGCCCCCAGAGTCACAGTGGGTGAGGCACCTCTGGGCTGAGCTGGATGTTACAAGTATTGGTGAGACAATAAAGCTTGTGTCCCAAAAATGAATTCAGTTGATTCACTTCCTAGAAGCAGAGCTCAGTGAGTGTGTTACCAAAAGGATTTATGGATTTCTGTGGCTGCAGCTCCAAACCTTTTGCTCCTGGGGCAGTTCCACATCAGCACCATTTGGAAGCAGGAATGAGGTGTGCTCTGCCTGGATTGTTTGGTACCTGTTCATGCAGTAGGCTGGAACTTAACCAGGAAAATTGTCTCATTAAAGAAAGTCCTTCCTTTCTGATAGCACGAGACTGTGCAGCAGCTGGTCAGTAGGACAGAGAATTTGCCTTATCATTAATGTGACTCAAACATCTTATTTTTTTAAAAAAAAGAGAAGCCTGGCATAATCACATCTCTGTACCTCATCTGCAAGAGGCACAGTTTCCCTTGGGCTGTTTATGGGATGTGTTCCAGCTGCCAGAGATGGAGCTGACTCTACCTCCCAGTTGTGGCTGGCTCATGTGCCAAGCTGTGTGGGCAGGTTCAGACCTGTTAAATCATGGAGCAAGATCTCATCTTGTCTGTAGCACTTGAGTTCCAACCAGTTTACAGTCATAAAACGGAGGGAATATAATGCAATGAGGCAGGAGAATGGGCTGGGATTTTGCATGGAGAGCTGAGGCGGGCAGGAGGGAACCAGCAGAAAGGTACCAAAAGGGACTCCAGATGTGATGGAGTGGTACATCCTCAGTAGTATTTAAACAAAACTGTTGCTTAGATCTCTTGATTTGTGTCTCTGCTTGATTCAAAAGCTTTATTTCAGTGTGCATCTGTCCTTTGTGTTAAATCCAAACCTCTCTTGTTCCTGCTGCTGGGGCCACATCACAGCATTTTGTGTTTATATTGGCTTGCTTCAGGTGTGTGCAGGACACCCCTGAAATACCTGAGAGCTGTCACATCCCTCTTGGGGTATGAATGTCTTACACATACTTTATTTCCTTAAACTCTGATTTTTAAGGGGTAAAACTGCCAAACCCCAAAGCCAATGTTCCCTGTGTTCAGGCTGTAATAACCTGCAGAGGAGATTCTGGTCACGAGGACTGTATTGGTATGCAAGGAGTAACTCCTCAAATATTTCTTCTTCCTCCAGATTGAATTCAAAATTGTTTGAATGTAGGAAAACAAGAAAAAAAGCCCTGGGAACGCTTGGGTATTGAGTGCTCAGCATACATTTCTGTCTTTTGCCTTGTGACTGTGTTGGTTTAAGAGGAGCAGAATTTTAGAGCGTTTGCTTCCTGTCCTAAAGGAACTGGTCCTGCACAATAAGTAGGAAACATGTACTGAGCTGTTGTTAAAGCTTGTTTCTTTTCTCTTTGAACTTCCCTAGGCTGGAGTGAAAGGGACGTTAGGAAGATTAGTGGGAATTTTTGAGGTAAGTTTCAGACGTGGGTGCTGTGAAATTTTGTTGCAAAAAAATCGTCTTGGAGTAACAATGGCTCTGCAAGGTTGTGGAGTGAGCAGGTGTGGGTTTGGTGCAAACGTCCCTGGTAGATACAAACAAACCACTCAGCAATTCTGATCTTTGCAATGGGCACTTGAGTGAAATGATGGTGGTAACTGCTGTGGCTGAATATTCTTGGTGCTGCCAAAAGCTGGGGAGTGGGGTCCCTCCTTTATTTTCAACACTCACAGCCACACCTGGCACAGTTGGCAGGTAGCAGACACAGCTCTTCTTGCTGTTGTTCTGTCACTGACTCCTTCAAACTCATGTGAAATAGGTCAAAACCTTCCCAGCTGAAGAACTAATTTGTAAACACATCAGTCCACAAACCACTGCTCCACAGATCAGGAGCTACACTTTTGGGTGTTCCTATTAACACTTTCAGACCTCTCTGATTTAAAACACAACAATGTCTTAATTTAACAATTCTTAGCTTCAGTACATGAGTTGTGCTGTGGGAGGAGCTGAACCCAAGGTAGGCAGTTTGCATCTTGCAGTGGCCCAGTGCCCTCCTGCCTAGAGAGGTTTGTTGATACTGTTGGGTGGTTGTTACTCTGTCCCCTTTGCCTTGCAGAACCGGGACAGGAAGCACAGGACATATGTTTACGTACTCATCGTCACCGAAGTGTTGGAGGACTGGGAGGACTCTGTCAATATTGGTAAGCTTGGTGCTTGCTGCATTAACTGATGGAAACAAAGTCAGCTCAGCATCTCTCTGGGACCTGGAGTCTGTGTGAGTGTCATTGGGAAAAGTTGCAGTGTTGTGTCCTTTGGTTGCTTAGGAAAAAAATTTGTCATGAAAATGATGCTTTTGTCACCTGTGTGGCCCAGGAAAAGCCAAGTAAGTGTCCAGCTGCCTCTGCAGCAATTTTGTGTTTAATTCTTGCACTGAAAGGTACCAAGCAAAGAGCATTGTGAAAAATGAGGTTCACATAATTTTTATAGAATTTAAAAGTTTAATAAAAAAAACAACTAGGAGAAGAAAATAAAGTATACAGATATGGCTGGGTGTGTCTGCATTCAGCCAAGAGAGCACACCTTACTGACAAAGGATTGCCCCTTAAAGACAGAACCCTACTAAATATCCATAAATTCTCATACATATTCATACATTCTTCTTAGGATCTTTGGTGTTCTTCTGTTTAGTTTTCTCTTGCCCCCTTCCCAATATATCAATCTTCTTGGTGCCATCAAGATTTACATTCCCTGATACCAGAAATGCAATAAATTCCTCCCACCAGAGCTCTGGTCACTGCTGTCTTCATCTGGATAAGATAGTTTACAAAAGAAAAAAAAAAGGGGTCTCCAGCTATCTTTTTCAGTCTTTGGGTTATACAGACAAAAGTAGTTTTTGTTTTAATGCTATGTCATAGCTTAACATATATGTATTATACTACTATTTCTAACAGAAATAAAGGAAACTATGTTAATACAACAAAATTTCCCATTCTTATACACATTTTAATATTTGTGAAAAGCCAACAATATAATATGTAACTATAACAGCATGAAGAACTGTCCTGTCTGAGACTAGAGGAAATGCATGTGGGCAGTGTGGGTTAATCATTCCCTGTTATCTTTGAAATCTTTGCATTTAAATTGGATGCCCAAATGGAAATGAACCTGTTGTTGCCACAAGGTTTGTGATGGCACTTCAGCAAATGGAACAGGCCTCTCCTTAAGCTCTTTATGGAAAGAGTAAGGACTGAGAACTGTCCACATGAAACTGAAGTCCACTTGCAAACTGATGGAAATTGGGTGCTGCTTGGTGTGTGTGTTGTGAGTTGTTGTAAAATGAGCACGTGGTTTGAATAGAAATTGCAGAAATAGCAAAATAGTATTTTTTTTTTTAATTAAGAAATGCAAGACAGGGGATGTATTGCCCTAAACAAACACCTGTCCCTGGGGATGGTTGGAGGGGGAGGCCCTTGAGATCAGAGTACATCATTCTGTTGCATCTACTGATTTCTCTCTTTGCCCCCAGGAAGGAAAAGGGAATGGTTTAAGATAGAAGATGCCATAAAAGTTCTGCAGTATCATAAACCAGTGCAGGCCTCGTATTTTGAGACCTTGAGGCAAGGCTGTCTGGCCAACAACGGCACCCCAGTCATGACCACGCCGTACTCCGAGAGCTCCGTGTCCGACATCAGATGACTGACGACGTCCCTGCGAGAGCAATTCCCAAAAGCAGACTGAGACCTGGATTTCCCTCCCCTCCCCGTTTCCATGCCTCCTCCCTCACACCAGGCATGGGCAGCCGCCTGGGGCAGAGCAAGTGTTCAGAGTGCTGCAATTTAGTGCAAGGTGGGATGATGTTTTTGGTTGTTTTTGTTTTTTTTTTGGTTGGCTTTTTTTGCTTTTTGGTTTTTTTTTTTTCTTTTTTGGATCTGTATTTTGTAAAATACATTTTGTGCATGAAGTGCCCCTTTCCCGGTACTCAGCTCCACGGCTTGGAGGCTGCCAGCCCCGCCTCTGCCTTGTACTCTGAAGTGTCCCAAGTGTCCCCTTTGTGTCACCCCAGCCAGAGCCACTTTTTTTTTTCTTTTTGTTAAATTAAAAGACTTCTAATGTGAGATCAGCTCTTCAAGTCTTAGTCTGTACTGTAAGGTGCTGCACAGACCCGTGTGGGGATCACTCGCAGCGCATCTGTATAAACTTTTTTTTAGATGGAGGCTCTAACATTTTAATTTTTGGGGAATTTTTTTTTTTTTAAATCCTGGTCTGCTTCTGAAAAGAAGGATTCATAATTAATCTGTTTGCCTTTTGTTCTGTTTTTTAAAAACACACATTCTGTGACAGTGCTAGTGGCTGGGCCAGTTTACTCCCCATCCAGTATCTCCCGATTTAGTGCAGTGACACTTGAAGTTGAGGGCAGAGTTCGGATCACCTGCAGACATCCCTGCAGACATCCCTGCGGCTTCTCCGACAGCTTCCACCAACATTTCTGCGTTTCCATCCGAGCGAAACCTCACGGAGCTGCTCTGGAACCGCCGGCCAAAACCAAACAGCCTCAGCAGCGCTGCAATGGCGCCCGGATCACGGGAGCCGGGGATGTGGGGGGGTCGGACGGACACACTGCGGTGTGGCTCACCAACACTGTCCCCTGCTCCCGCTGCGTCCTGCTCGTGTCTCTCTTGTCCACATGCCTTACGCCATGCTGAACTGGACACTTGGGGTTTGTGCTGAAGCATCGGATCGTGCTCGCCGAGCGTTGCCGCTGCGCCCGGAGAAGCCATGCGCACATCCCTAAAGAGAAGTCCCAGGGGGAAAATTCAGGTGTTCGGTCTCTTGTCCTGTGGTTCTGCAGCACTTAGGGTCGCACTGTGGAGTGAGCTCAAAGTGTGCTCTCCATGAAAGGTACAGCTGCCTCCCGCAGGCAGCACTCCCGGGGGAGCGGCACAGGAGAGCTCCCCGATGCGTTGGCACACTTCACACGGGGGTTTGTTGTTTTATTGCTGTAAGTTTCATGCTGTCTTGATTTGCCAACAGTGTTGTCTAGTTGGGAAATAAAATGGGAAGGGTTGGGGTTGGGGGTGGGTTGGGACAGGTACAAGTTTTGGGAGGGGCATTAATTAATCCCTGGCTTGGGACAAGAAGTGGTTGCTGAGTTCAGTAACTTCTCCTTTGTCAGAGCAGAGCCAAGATGTGAAATTAAATCTGCAGTACTTTTTTTTTTTCTTTTTTTTTTTTTCCTTTTTTTTTTTCCTGCTCTTTATTTAACAAAAAAATATTCTAATAAACACTCACTGTTCTGGAGTTTTCTCTCTTCCTGAGAAGTGCTTACAATATGAAAATCTGATAGAAATATCCATGGAGCCAGGGACAAGGGGGAATGGTATCCTTGCTGGTTTGGCAAGAAGCTGTTCATTTTAAGATCCTCTTCTGTTCCTTTCCTTGTTCTCCCTGCTTTCATCGGTGTGGAGTAGCAAGGCCAAAAGCAGTGCCAGTGATCGCTGACATGGAAAACCACGCGTAAGGAACAGCCCATTATTCAAGGAGTAGCTCAAACCCAAGCGTCTGGAATTGAGCCTAAATTACACCAGTTCAGCTCACTTCAACTTAGAGACGAATGTACAATCCTTTCTCACTATGTGCTGGTCAGCCTGAACCAAACTCTCAAAAGGGCTTGAATATTCTATCTGGAAGTGTCCAAGAAATTCCCAGAGTCGCTGTCCCCGCGCCCTGCGAGGCACCTGACACAGCCATCTACTGCCTTCAATGAGTCTTGGTCTCTACTGTACAGATTAGTATGTTGGAAATGCTTTGCAACAAAACAGCTGGTACTCCTGAAAGAGTAACTGCAGTTTTAATATCAGCAGCATGCACACTTTCGTTTTTAAACTAAAAATGTTTTTACAGGGCTGTTAAACTGACAATTTAGGGTAGAATATTGTTAATGACTTGCTAATGGCTTATTTGTTTGGGTCAGAAAAAATAAACTGTGCCAAGAAAGTGTTTTAATGTGGCATGGATTGATGCTGTTACCGAGGAGTGGCTAATGTTATGCCTTGTAACTGGAAATGGCTCCTGGGGCAGGAATAGCCTTGACTGAAGAGATGCAGATTTCAGACCAGGCCTGAGCCCTGTGCTCCCTGAACCTCTCCCTACAACACACAATTCCCGTCTTCCTCAGCATCTGAGGTTCTCTCTAGAGCTGGTACAGCTGCACCCCCAGCAGCTGGAGAGGTTTTATCTAAACTGGTGTTAATTGGTTTGGGACTATGTGTGTGAGGCACAGGGGAGCTGCTGGAAGGGTGGCTGTGGTTCTGCTGCTCAGTCTCAGTGCTGGGGCCACTGTTCCAAGCATGTCCTGGGACTCCCAGCCGTGCTAAAACTGGTGCTGTTCAAGCTGCTGGTGTTTGGTAGCAGGATTCTTGCCTCATCTGGCCTGGCCCATACATGGAGCGTCACTCTGTGTCTCAGCAGCCTGAGGGAACAGTTCTGAGCTGGCTCCTTGCCTGGCTGTGCTCTCTGGGCACTGCTGGGCCTTGGGTACCACACAACTGTCCTCAGCAGTTGCCTGGTCCCACCATCACTGCAGGTCCTGAATGCTGGTTTGGGGTATGAGATGGGGCTGCTGCTCTTCATCACCTTGGGGCCCTGGGGGGTCCCTCTGCAGCTCCTTAGGGGCACAGTGACATCACTAATGGGGTCCCTTCTTCCCTTGCCTCTTTTGTTCCTGTGCTTGTGGGCCAAGGGCACTGCGCTCTTGGTACACCTGTGAGGGGCAGGGAGCTCTGCACCAGTTTGGTGACTCCAGCACGGGAACAGGAGAAAAGGAAGACACCCCTGGAGTACTCGTGTGTCCGAGTGCTGCTTGATCCTTCCAGCAGGATTTGTCAGATCCCAAACCTCTGCAGTGGTCTTACATGATGTGTAAGGCGGGTGGACATCCCCCTGCAGAGAGAGCTGAGTGTTGTGAAACCCAGCAGAGCTGGAATTGTATGGCTCTGGCTTTGGGGAGTCTCTCCCAGACAAGGATTTGTTATGGTGGAAAAGGGATTTTGGTTCTTTGGTGACCAGCAGCTTGGAAATGGCGTGTGGCAGGAGCCACACAGCACCTTGGCTGAGGTGATTGCTGTTGGGTGGGTTTGGGTTTCAGATGTGGCTCCGCTCACGCAGAGGTTGTTCAAAGGCACATTTCAGAGGGAGGAACCCTTTTGCAGTTTAGAGTGGTGAGCCCCAGGTGGGGATTGGGGGATTTCCCTGCTGTGGGGTGGGTGCTGCCTGTCTGGGTCACTGCTGGGCCTAGGAGGTGCTGCCTTTTCCTAGGAGAGAAGAGTGAAAGCAGGGAGGGTTTTTTCCCATTCTCCCTGAAATCTGGAATTCAGTGATCTTAAGGTACCTCTGGTGGCTTCCCAAAGATGGATTGTTTGAGTGGTTTGTTGGAAGCTCAGTGTCACAGCTGTGCCTCCCCCTATCTCAGGGAAGTGTTGCCACTTCCCAGCAGCGCTGACCGAGCTGTCTGTGCTCCGTGTGGTCAGCAGGGCCAACACACCCCAGCTCAGAACTGCCATGGCACTGGGAATTCTGAGCCGTTGGCATTCACCTCTCCAGGTACAGCATTAGGAAGAACATTCCCTGGATGTGAAGTTAACAGCCACTGTCCAAACTAAAAAGAGTTTTTTCAAATAGAAAATGCATTAAACTTTGGGCTGTAAAGCCTCTCCAGGACCGAGGCAGTGACAGCAGGGAAGGGACATGATGACAGTCTCCTCAGGTTGGTTTGCTTCCAGCTCAGTCAGGTGGGTGTGTTCTGGGAATAGAGAAGGGGACAGAGCCTGAGGGCTGCGGGTCAGGGTCCCCCAGCCATGGGTGCTGGGGAGGCAGCACCCAAACCTACTGGTGCAGGGGGAAAGGTGGGAGCTGGGTTTGAGGGCTGGAAGGAGCAGCAGTATCAGCATTCCCACCAGCTCTGTTCCTGTGGAGATGGATGCTGTGAGCTCTTCCCTACTCTCCTGCAGAGCACCGAGGCAACTCATTCACCCTCAGCTGGAATGTGCCTTAAAGCAAACTGTGTAAAGGGAAAAATGAAAAGGGATTGGAATCCGCAAGTGTTGCTTTTTCCCTTGTGTGGTCACAAAGTATTCAGTGACTACAAATGTGGGTAGGGAATGTCAGGAATCCTCAGTTCCCTTCCCAGATCTAGCAGGGGCTTTGGGCCTTTGCCTCAGCTTTTCCATGCAGAAGCTGTGTTCAGCATTCCACAGTGAGCAGGGATCAAAATCCTGGCGGCTGCAAAGGTCCAGTGAGTACCCCTTGTACAAGAGCTGTAGGTTTTCTTACCTGTTCCCTGTGTTTTATCCCAAATGGACATGTTTGTGCTTTCATACAGCCGGATGCAGCATCCATCCCTGTGCAGAGTACACAGGGAGCACTGGGGATTGCTGAGGAGTTGGTTTGGGGTTTGACTCTCCCAAGTGGAGCCTGTGACTGCTGCTGGGGGGAATCAGAGCTGCATCTTCAGCCAAACCTGCCCCAAGCAGTGACTGTTGCAGTGTGAGGAGCTTTTCCCTCTGCCTGACCCAGTGCCTGCTCTGATCTTGCTCCCAGGCTGGGTTTTCCATCCTGGCTCCGTTCTCCTGCTCAGTCACGGCATCATCTGGTGGCTGCAGCCCTGCAGGGAAGTGGTGACCTCATGGCTGGGGTGTCCCTCAGCTGCTTCCTGAGCCCCTGACACACACAGGGCGTGATCCTCATTTTCCTAACCTTGGAATGAACTAATCCAGCTGCTCTGTGCTGCGGACATCCTGCAGTGCTGTGCTGGGATAGTGTCAGGGCTCTGGACATAACTAAGGTATAGCTGGTGAAAAAGAAACTAAACTGAACTGAAGTTGTATTTAAGAGATTTATAAATCTCTCTTTGGTGCTAGTCCATAGAGTTGGGGTTTTTTGGGGTATTTTTGGGTGTTTTTGTTTGTTTTTTTGGTGGGAAGATGGGAATTTTGATGTTATACTTGATTAATTTGCTCTAGAATTGCCTCAGAAAACTGGGGAGGTCTGAGAGTGTTTGTTGAATTTCCTGTGTGTCCTATTTTATATTTATTAAATCAGAAAATCTGTAATGATCACTTTGCATTTGCTGCTCAGTCCTTCCATGAGCTCTGTGTACGTGGGGAGCTCCTGGCAGTCCCCACACATCAGGAGAATGGGACCCCAGACCCCAGCTGAGGGATGGATGGCCAGGCCCCATTGTCCAGCCTCCTGTCCATGTGTGTGTTTGCCTGAGGCTTCTCTATTCCTCCCCAAAACAAGGAATTCCCATGGCTGGTCAGAGCTGTGGGACATTGACTGTTTCTGGTTTGTGTCTGAGTTGGTACCTTCAACCTCACTCCCATGACTGAGGGTGGGACTGATCCAGACACTGACCTTGGTGTGAGGGAAAATGGGTTCTGAACTCTTCCAAATATTGATCCAAGTCATCCAAATGTGCAGGCCTGGAGTAGGGGCTGTGCAGAGCCTGGTGAGGATCCCTGGGTGTTGTTCTCCATGGGGTTGGTTGGGATGTGGTGGGGTCAGCTAGGATGTCTCATGGAGGTTCTTGTGCTGCTCCTGCCACCTGGCTTTCACAGGGAAGTGTCAGCAAGTTTGCAGAAGGAAAACTGATGGAGAGAACAAACTTGCTGATTTGTTAGGATTAGAATAGGTCTGATATTTGCAGTGATTTTCAATGAGTTGCAAGTGAAATAATTCCCTGTGAATTCGAGATGGTTTTGTAATTCTCATAATCTGTTTGGGTTCATTTCCTGGCTGCAGATCTCTGTTCCTCACTCCAGCACTTGATGTTTCTAATCTCCTGGTGAACTTCACATGGGAGGGTTACAATAAATTACATAGTTTGCAGAAACACTCTGCAGATGCAAAGGCCCTTTGGAAATGGAATATTGCAATGGATGCTTTTTCTCTTACTGACTCATTTGTACAACACCTTTGTTCTAAGTCCCACAAGTGAAGTAGAAAACATGTTCTGTTTCCTTTGGGACTCTGTCTCAGAGCCTCTGGATAATGCAGGTGTTCTCCTGCTCGGTCCTGGCTGGCAGGTGCAGGACATCCCTATGTGATTCTGACCTTTCATCTACAGTGTTCCCAGAAAGGCCAGAGGGCTCTGCATGTGTGAAACTGGCTGGTGCAGTGGGGCCCTGCCACGAGGGGTTTTGTTGTTTATGAGAGGGAGGCCATCACTGCCTTTAAAAGAGTGAAAAATTGAAAATATTAAATTGGTGGATGCCAGTTTGCCGAGAGTGTGGGCTGTAATCTAGCGCCAACCAATAAACACACCAGTACTTCACACACCTCTGCCTCCTGCCTGGTCTCTCCATCCCAGCGCTGTTCCCCGCAAACGTGAACTTGGAAATTGGGTGACGGTGTCACCCGAGGAGAAAGCCCTCCCTGCAGTGGCTTGGGACAGTCACAGCCTGGAAGAGGAGCTGGAGGGATGTCACCAGCAGCCTGGAGTTGAGATGGGCTCGCTGATGGGGCGTGCACCCTGCAATAAAAAGGGGCTGTTTAAGGAGAGAGCTTGGTGGAGCCTCCCACATTTTCACAAAATCCTTCCCAAGGGAAGAGCTGTGGGAGAGGCCGGTGGAGCCTGCACGGAGAGCACCAGCACCCCCGGCTACCGTGATGCTCCCGGCCCGGCCACACAAGGGTGAGCTCCCGCATTTTCCCCGCAAACATGTCCTGATGTGGAGACCATCTAAGCGAGCCTTTGCAAATTCCCTTTGGGATCTGGATGTGACCAGGCTCCTTCTGCAGAAAACACGGGGGGCTTCTGCACCATAGCCTCGGAGTCCAGGGCAGAATTAATGAATTAATGGGTGCTGACGGCGGCGTTAATGCCTGAGCTGCGAGGCAGCCGGGGCGGCTGTGCCCCCGGGGGCCCCGCACCCCGGCATTTCTGGGCGGATGAGCAGCCGGAGGGATGCGCTGCCTGGAAATCCGGCCACTTGCGCTCAGCTGCTTAAACGGGAGCTTAGCGGCTCAGCAAAGCTGTCCCCAATTATGTGCTGGGGGCCGAGCAGCGCAGGGGAGGGAGCTGATGTCTCACAGCGGGGTTTGGAGCACAAATAAATACCCCGTGGTGCTATCCCAGCTTTGCCCCCACGGCTGACGCCCCTTACACCCCGGTCACGAAGGTGCCTTGTCCCCAGAATGGGTGGCGATGCTGCCCTCAGCCCCCCGGCATCCTTCCCCACCCTGAGGTAAACAAGGGAGAGATTTCTCCAGGGCCGAGCAAGTCCTGTGCTGCCCTGGCTTTGACTCCCCTCTTCCCCTCATCTAGGGGCTCTGGGAAGCAGTGGATTGGGAAAAAAATGTTCATGTGGGATCTGGGGACGTGTCCTGGGCTGGCTCTGGCCATGCGGAGGGGCTTGGTGACCCCCTGTCTCCTCCCAAGGGTGCTGCTTCCCCTGGACCACGCATGCTCCTCCTGGCCATGTGCTCCCACTCGCTCATGCTCTCCAAGGAGCTTTCCTAGAAATTGATGGATTTATTTTTAGCCCTGGCACAGCAGGGTTCAGCAGGGAGGGGATGGGCTGTGGTGCATGGTGGCAGCTTGGAAGGACCCTGAGGTGTCAGGGGGGACTGGGGGTCAGGTCCCACTCTGTGGTTCCCCCATTGCCATGGTGAACAGGCGCTGGGGCTGGTTTGGGAAGGATCTCTGGGGCAGGGGGAGTCAGCACAAACAAGGAGACCAGTGCCACTGCTGGGGAGAGTGGGGTCAGCGTGGGCTGGTGGGGCCAGCACTGGGAACTGCAGCTGCTGGCCATTCTCGAGACAGCTGGTGCCCTTTTCTGGTCTGGAGAGGGGAAAATAACCCTGCATGGGCTGGGCAGGAGGTGAGGTGCAGGGACTGGTGCAGGCAGCAGTGTGGGCAGGGAGCAGGGAGCACTGCAGGCAAGTGCAGGCAGGGGTGCAGGCTGTGTACAAAGAATTGTGCCATGGACAAGTTCATCCCAGAGGCTGCAGACCAGGAGCTGCTCTTCCCCACCAGCTCAGGAGGCTAGAGATGCTCTGCAGTGGCTGAGCCCTGTCCAGGGGCTGTGTCCTCCCCGTTCTGCCATGTCCAGACTCCTCTTTCACCTCATCCAGCTTGATGATTATTTTTTGTAGCTGTTGGGAAGCGCAGTGGGGCCCAGTGCTCCCTGGTGTTCCCTGCTCCTGCCTGACCCACTTAGCGGGACCATCTGGTCCCCGCGGGCAAAGCGGATTAGCCCTGCAGCCGGGATCAGGGCTGGGGAGCTGCCACCACAGTGGGTGACACTGCCAGCATCGTCACAGCCCCTGCCACGGCTCCAGCCTGGGGGACAGTGGCCACAGCAGGAACCCTTGGCCAGGGAACCACAGCAGCCTGCAATGTGGATGACCCTGCCCATGTTCCTGGCACCCCCTGAAACATGGCCATCCCCAGCCCTGAGGGTTGGTTGTCTCACACCACACCTACATCTCCATCCATCCATCCGTCCATTCATCCATCCATCCGTCCATCATCCATCCATCCATCCATCCATCATCCATCCATCCATCCATCATCCATCCATCCATCCATCCATCCATCATCCATCCATCCATCATCCATCCCTCCATCCATCCATCATCCATCCATCAATCATCCATCCATCATCCATCCATCCGTCCATCCGTCCATCCGTCCATCCGTCCATCCATCATCCATCCGTCCATCCATCATCCATCCATCCATCATCCATCATCCATCCATCCATCCGTCCATCCATCATCCATCCATCCGTCCATCCATCCATCATCCATCCATCATCCATCCATCATCCATCCATCATCCATCATCCATCATCCATCCATCATCCATCCATCCATCATCCATCCATCATCCATCCATCATCCATCCATCTGTCTGTCCATCCATCCATCCATCATCCATCCATCCATCCATCCCTCTTTTCCTACCCACACCCCCAGCTGTGCAGTCATCTGGCCAGATGTGCAACTCCCTCATCCCTTCCTCCATCTGTCCACCCACCCCTCCGTCTGTCCTTCCCTTGTGCCCCTCCTGGGCCTTTTCTTCCTTTCTGCCTGTTTTTTTTTCCCGGTTTTTCCCTTTCTCCGTCTCCCGGTTCCCCATTTTCCATTTTCCCTGCGTTTCCTTGCCCTGTTCCCTTCT